ATCCCCCTCAGACTCTGCCCCACTAGCCTCAATCTGGAACCGCCTCAGACTCTACCCCACTCGCCTCACTCTGGATGCCGCTGAGCCACTGCCCTACTAGCCTCACTCTGGATCCCCCTCAGCCTCTGCCCCACGAGACTCACTCTGCATTCCCCTCAGAATCTGCCCCATTAACCTCACTCTGGATACCCAATAGACACTGCCCCATTAGCCTAACTCTGGAACCCCTCAGACTCTGCCCCACTAGCCTCACTCTGGATTCCCCTCAGACTCTGCCCCACTAGCCTCACTCTGGATTCCCCTCAGACTCTGCCCCACTTGTATCAATCTGGATCACCCTGAGCTGCTGCCCTACTAGCCTCACTTTGGTTTCCCTCAGACTCTGCCCCACTAGGCTCACTCAGGATCCCCCACAGGCTCCGCCCAACTAGCCTGCCTCTGGATCCGTCATACTCTGCCCCACTCGCCTCACTCTGGATACACATCAGATTCTGCCCTATTAGCCTCACTCTGGATACCCCTCAGACTCTGCACCATTAGCCTCACTCTGGATCCCCCTCAGACTCTACCCCACTAGCCTCACTTTGCATTCCCCTCAGACTCTGCCCCACTTGCCTCACTCTGGATCGCCCTGAGCTACTGCCCTACTAGCCTCACTCTGGATTCCCACAGACTCTGCCCCACTAGCTTCACTCTGGATCTCCATCAGACTCTGCCCCACTAGCCTCACTTTGGATCCCCATCACACTCTGCCCCACTCGCCTCACTCTGGATTCCCACAGACTCTGCCACACTAGCTTCACTCTGGATCTCCATCAGACTCTGCCCCACTAGCCTCACTCTGGATCCCCACTTGCTTCACTCTGGACCCCCCTCAGACTCTGCCCTCTCGCCTGACTATGGATTGGCCTCAGACTCTGCCTCACTAGCCTCAATCTGGATTCCCCTCAGACTCTGCCCCACTATCCACACTCTGGATTCCCCTCAGACTCGGACACACTAGCCTCACTCTGGATCCCCCTCAAACTCTGCCCTCTTGCCTAACTATGGATTCCCCTCAGAGTCTACCCAACTAGCCTCACACTGGAACCCCCTCAGACTCTGCCCCACTCGCCTCACTCTGGATCCCCCTCAAACTCTGCCCTCTTGCCTAACTATGGATTCCCCTCAGAGTCTACCCAACTAGCCTCACTCTGGATCCCCCCTCAGACCCTGCCCCATTCGCTTCACTCTGGATCCACCACAGATTCTGCCCAACTAGCCTCCCTCTGGATCCGTCAAACTCTGCCCCATTAGCCTCACTCTGGATACCCCACAGATTCCGCCCCACCAGACTCACTCTGCATTCCACTCAGACTCTGTCCCATTAGCCTCACTCTGGATACCACTCAGACTCTGCACAATTAGCCTCACTCTGGATCCCCCTCAGACTCTGCCCCACAAGCCTGACTTTGGGTACCCCTCAGACTCTGCCCACTAGTCTCACTCCGGATTTCCCTCAGACTCTGCCCCACTTGTCTCACTCTGGATCCCCCTGAGCAACTACCCTACAAGCCTCACTCTGGATTCCCCACAGACTCTGCCCCACTAGCCTCACTCTGGATTTCCCTCAGATTCTGCCCCACTTTCTTAACTCTGGATCCCCCTCAGACTCTGCCCCACTAGCCTCACTCTGGATCCTCAACACACTCTGTCCCACTTGCCTCACTCTGGATCTCCATCACACTCTGGCCCACTAGCCTCACTCTGGATCTGCTAAGACTCTGCCCCATTCGCCTCACTCTGGATCCCCCTCAGATGCTGCCCCACTAGCCTCACTCTGGATCCCAAACAGAATCGCCCCCACTTGCTTCACTCTGGACCCCCCTCAGACTCTGCCCCTCTCGCCTCACTCTGGATTCCCCTCAGACGCGGCCCCACTAGCCTCACACTGAATCCCCCTCATACTCTGCCCTCTTGCCTGACTATGGATTGGCCTCAGACTCTGCCCCACTAGCCTCTCTCTAGATACCCCTCAGACTCTGCCCAATTAGCCTCACTCTGGATCCCACTCAGACTCTGCCCCACTAGCTTCATTCTGGATCCCCCTCAGACACTGTCCCAGGAGTCTCAGTCAGGTTCTCCCTCAAACTCTGCCCCACAAGCCTCACTCTGGATCCCCCTCAGACTCTGCCCCATTAGCCTCACTCTGGATCCTCATCACACTCTGCCCCACTTGCCTCACTCTTAATCTCCCTGACTCTATCCCACTACACCAACAACAACAAGATTCCATTTATTGAGTGCCTTTCACGTCGGGAGGACGTCCCAAGGCGCTGTACAGTTGGGTCATGACCCGAGCATTGGAGGGAAATGGTAAGGGTGAGGAGAGGGAAGGGAGGGAGCGAGGAGGGGGTAGAGAGTCGAGAGGAGAGCTGAAGGCACGGTCAAAGACAAAGGTCTTGAGACCGGCCTTGAAGGAGGAAAGGGAGGAGGCAAGGCGAAGGCACTGGGGGATAGAGTTCCAGAGCCTAGGGGCTGAGAGGCTGAAGGCCCGGCCACCGATAGTAGGGCGGTTGGGGCGGGGGATGTGGAGCAGACCGGAGCCAGAGGAACGGAGGGTACGGGCGGGTAGGTAGGGGGATAGTAGGTCGGAGAGGTAGGAGGGAGCAAGGCCGTGAATGGCCTTGCAGGTGAGGGTGAGGATCTTGAATTCGATCCTCTGGGGGATGGGGAGCCAGTGGAGGCGAGCGAGGGTGGGAGTGATGTGTTCCCGAAGCCTGGTGCGGGACAGTACACGAGCTGCAGAGTTCTGAATGACCTGCAGCTTGTGGAGGGAGGTGCCGGGAAGGCCGGCGAGGAGAGAGTTCCCATAGTCCAGCCTTGAGGTGATAAAGGCGTGGACCAGAGTTTCAGCAGCGTGAGGGGTGAGATAGTGCCGTAGTCTGGCGACATTCCGGAGGTGATGGAAGGCGGTGCCAGTTGTGGAGCGGATATAGGGGAGAAAGGACAGCTCAGGGTCGAACAGAACCCCGAGGTTCCTGACTGGCTTTGAGAGGTGGAGAGTGCAGCCTTGGATGCTGATGCTGTCAGCGCCTGAGGTGCGGAGGCGCTGACGTGAGCCAATCAGGAGGGCCTCAGTCTTGCGGACGTTGAGCTGAAGAAAGTTATCTCTCGTCCAGGACTCGATGTCGGACAGGCAGGCTGTCAGGACATCGGTGGTCGTGGAGTTGAGGGTAGAGGAGGAAAGGTAGAGTTGGGTGTCATCCGCATACATGTGGAAGTTAACCCCATGTCTGTGGATGATGTCACCAAGGGGGAGCATATAGAGGGTGAAGAGGAGGGGACCGAGGACAGAGCCTTGAGTGACACCGCACGAGACAGTGCGGGGGCCGGAGGAAAAAACATTTGTTGAGACAAAGTGAAGGTGGTGGGAGAGGTACGACCTAAACCACTCAAGGACAGGGCCTTGAAGGTTGAGGTGGGAGGACAAGCAGTGGAGGAGGATAGCATGGTCGACCGTATCGAATGCTGCCGATAGGTCGAGGAGGACGAGGAGGCAGAGGGAGCCCTGGTCACAGATGGTCAGGATGTCATTGGTGACCTTGACCAGGGCAGTTTCTGTGCTATGGGCAGCACGGAAACCCGACTGAAGGGGTTCGAATAGTGAATGGTTGGAGAGGAAAGAGCGCAGCTGGGAGGCGACAACTCGTTCCAGGACCTTGGATAGGAAGGGGAGTTTGGAGATGGGCCGGTAGCTTGATAGCTGCGACGCATCAAGGGAGGGTTTTTTTAAGGTGGGAGTGATGGTGGCAGTTTTTAAGGGAATGAGAACAGAGCCAGAGGAGAGGGACAGGTTGACAATGTCTGTGATATGTGGGGCAAGGAGGTGGAGCTGGGAGATAAGGAGTGGAGTGGGGAGGGGGTCAAGGGAGCAGGTGGTAGGTTTCAGGGAGAGGATGAGTTTGGTGACAGAGGATGGGGAAACGGGTATGAAGGTGTGTAGGGGAGGATGGGTAGGAGTCAAAGTGTGCGAGGGAAGGAGTGGGTGGTGGGTGGATGTTGGAGGGGAAGTGACCGCGGAGCGGATTCCCTTGATCTTGGATTCAAGGAAATCCAGCATCTCCTCGCAGTGAAGGTTGGAGGAGATGACCTGCGCGGGGTGGCGGGGGGGACGGAGGAGTTGGGATGTGGTAGCCTCACTCTGGATCCGCTAAGACTCTGCCCCATTAGCCTCACTCTGGATCCTCTTCAGAAACTGCCCTACTTGCCTCTCACTGGATCCCCCTCAGACTCTGCCCCATTCGCCTCACTCTGGATCCCGCTCAGACTCTGCCCCACGAGGCTCACTCTGGATCCCCATCACAATCTGCCCCACTCGCCTCACTCTGGATCCCCATCACACTCTGCCCCACTAGCCTCACTCTTAATCTCCCTCACACTCTGCCCCACTAGCCTCACTCTGGATCCCCAACAGAATCAGCCCCACTTGCTTCACTGTGGGCCCCCCTCAGACTCTGCCCCTCTCGCCTCACTCTGGATTCCCCTTAGACTCGGCCCCACTAGCCTCACACTGAATCCCCCACATACTCTGCCCTCTTGCCTGACTATGGATTGGCCTCAGACTCTGCCTCACTAGCCTCAATCTGGATTCCCCTCAGACCCTGCCCAACTAGCCTCAATCTGGACTCCCCTCAGACTCTGCCCCACTATCCTCACTCTGGATTCGCTCATACTCTGCCCCACTAGACTCTCTCTAGATACCCCTCAGACTCTGCCCCACTAGCCTCACTCTGGATTACCCTCAGACTCTGCCCCTTTAGCCTCACTCTGGATTCCCCTCAGACTCTGCCCCTTTAGCCTCACTCTGGATGCCCCTCAGACTCTGCCCCACTAGCCTCACTCTGGATTCCCCTCAGACTCTGCCCCTTTAGCCTCACTCTGGATCCCCCTCAGACTTTGCCCCAATAGCCTCACTCTGGTTCTCCCTCAGACTCTGCCCCACAAGCCTCACTCTGACAGAATTTATTGCTCGTTAACAGTAATGGACGTTTCGGGTTGTGAGAGTTCGTGAGGCTCTCTCCACGCACATCAAAAACTGAAATGAAACTGGTATCTTCTCACTTCCTGGAGCTGTGACGAGATGGCGGGACTCATCAAGAAACAGATCCTGAAGCACTTGTCCAGGTGAGAGCCGTAATCTGTGTGGGTCTGAGTGTGCGGATGTGTTGGGGCCTGCAGGTGCCCGGGTGGTAGGAACGGATGCTGTCCAGAGCCCCCCCCCCCACCCCCCCAACCACAACCCTCTTTAACCCGACTCCCACCCTCACCGGCTTTTCCACTTCACTAAATATTTTTCCGTGTAGAGAGGTTTTATTTCACTTTTGTTCGCTGAGCCTCCCCTGTGGAAAACTGGCAGCGCCGGTCATGTCCTGAGCCTGAGCCCTGGTTTCACTGCCAGGATCGCTCTGCAGCGCTCAGTGCGGGTCACGAGAAACTGGAAGCTCGGGTAGCGGGATCAGAAGCAGCTCTCTAAGCAGAGAGGGAGAAATGTTGGGCTGTGCAAACTTTTAAACAATTATTTCTGCTTCCCGTAAAACGGCTTTATTTTTTCGCTCTGTGGGAGGATTGCACAACGCTGCTTCGTGATACGAGTTTTGAGCCCACACAGTTATTGACACCGGCTGAGTCCCCTGGTCTTGTGGTTCGTATTGCACCCTTGACACTGGGGACTGGTGAGAAGGATCTGATCGACTGGTGACTTTTCACCCAAGGAGACGGTGAACTCAATGCACGAAAGAATAAGGTGTGCTCGATAATATCGGAGAATGGAACTGAACTTTGATTATTTTGAAAATGTTAAACCTTTCGGTTGGATTATAACGACTGACCTTTTAATCGAGAGCTCTGATCTTGCAGAGAAACCCATTTATAGTTTACATTGAGTACATTTGACTATTTTGGTTTGAAACAAGGTGGTTGTGTTTGTAAAATAATAATTCTTGCATTTGATATAGTGCCCTATTGTGTCTTCGAGATGTCCCAAAGCTCTTGACAGAATATACTGTAAAATGAATTGACTGTATATTTTGTGGGCAAACCACAGCAGTGTCGCACAAAAAGTCGTGGATTGAGTGATCAAATTATTTTTAAAAATTGTATTTGGAAGGAATTATTATCCCCGGAAAAGTGATCCGCCAATTGACCAACTTACTGTTAGGTAAACAGAGGTATGTGGAGTAAGGAAACTTGCCCAATGTTTCGTCCGGCCGGAAATCGAACCCAGGTCCTCTCGCTTACGAGGCGAATAAACGTATCCAGTCCCTTGGGATGTTCTCCCAACATGGAAGGCACTATACAATGTAGTTTTGTTGTTTATATTGTAAGGTCAAATAATGTCAAAATTCCAGTTATCTGTTAATAACATTTCCTAACCACTACATGTATTTCATACATACTTTTCACATAATGTTATTAGCATGTTGACTTGTTGAGAGGAAGTAAAATTGAAAAGATATGTGTCATTAGACACAACATAACAAAATTACATTTATAGAATGCCTTTCACTTCGGAAGGATGTCCCAAAGCGCTGGTCAGTCAGGGGTCAGGACCCGAGCATGGGGGAGGGGTGGGTGTAGGGGTGAGGGATGACAGAGAGGTGGGAGGGTGACCGAAGTCACGATCGAAAAGAAAGGTCTTGAGACCGGCCTTGAAGGAGGCAAGGGAGGAAGTGAGGCAAAGAGACTGGGATGGAGTTCTAGAGTGTGGGGGCAGAGAGGCTGAAAGCCCGGCCACCAATGGTAGGGCTGGTCGAGCGGGTGACATGGAGCAGGCCGGAGCCCGCTGAATAGAGGGAGCGGGCAGGTTGGTTGGGAGTCAGCAAGTCAGAGAGGTAGGAGGGGGCAAGGCCATGGATGGCCTTGAAAGTGAGGACAAGGATCTTGAATTTGATCCTCTGAGGGATGGAATTGTGCAAGGGTGGGAGTGATGGGGTCACGGAGTCTGGTGCGCGAGAGTACACGTGCTACAGAGTTTTGGATGATCTACAGAATGTTTTTTGTGATTACAAAAAGGCTCAGGATTGGTGTTTTCTTGTTTCTTTGGTCATAGTGAGTGATAAATACAATGGCTTGTGCATTTATCCAAGTGAAATCATCATTCGTTCTCAAAGAGCATTCCCTACTTTTTGATCAATGAAATATAATTTCAGGTTATGACCCGAATCAATTCAAAGTTGGAAGCAAATTAGCAAAGGTCAGTCAATTCAGTCTCCTTGATGCCAATTCTTTCCTAGGAGGCAAAAATATATATTGGGAGCATTTGGTTAAATTATTTTAATAACCATGTATGTTATAGACAATAAAGGATTCTTGGAATGATCACAGGGCTATAATCTGAACCAGTTCAGATGATCCTGTAAATTCAGAGAATGAAGGACAAAAGGCACAGAATTCCTTAGTTATCAACTTGCTACGACAATCATCGCCTTTTCAATGTCATCATTCATTGCGAATTTCTGTGCTCATCTGCCTCTATACGCTGAATTTGTTCTTTGTGTGATGACATTGAAAAGGCGATGATTGTCGTAGCAAGTTGATAACTAAGAATTCTGTGCATTTTATAAACAAGGATACTGGATAGTAGGTTGAATAGGCAACGTAAACAGTGAGGCATGCATAGAACAGCAGTTTCAGCTTGCCAGTTATGTTTTCGTCACAAGTAAAATCTCCAAATATGGGCACAATGTAGGTATTTGTTATTGTCCATATATTAGACTATATGTACCCGTTGCAGCTACGCTTGCAACCAAGGGATCCAATATGGAATGTAGATTTCAGTATTATTATACTTTATATCATATTGTTATACTTTATATTATAATATTTATATCAGATTATTATACTTTATTATACTTTATATTAGATTATTATACTTTGTATAAGAATAGGAAATCTCCCCAAAAGCCCATGGTTTTCTCTGTCGCTACTTTGTTGCAGAATAGGTTATTCCAGATGTATCTTTCTAGAACTGTGTGATTTCCTCTGTCGATACTTTTGCGTGCAGAGAGAGGAGAGGAGAAAGAGAGGGGTGGAGAGAAGGGAGGGGAGAGAGGGAGGGAGATAGATCACTTTATGGTGTGTGGATCAGTAACCAGAGGACACAATTTAAGATAATTGACAAAGAACCAAAGAGATGAGGAGAATTTGTTACAGTCTGGAATGAAAGAGTGGTGGAAGCAGATTCCCTAATAGCTTTCAAAAGGGAATTAGATAGATACTTAAAAAAGGAAACAATTACAGGACTATAGGGTAAGAGTGGGAGAGTGGAACGTAGTTGGTAGCTCTTTCAAAGAGCTGGCACAGACACTATGGGGTCCTTCTGTGCTGTATGATTCTATGATTCTTACCAACTGCCACAGTTCCTTGGATGCTGGTTGCTCACAGTATCTTACCCAAATGGCGATTCATGTTTGAGCCCTGATGGTGATGGCTGGCAGGGTATTTGATCAGAGTGAAGCATGGCAGCTGAGCCTATCCTGCAGTTTGTTGTTTCATCTCAAACACAGGTCGGTTACATAATGATCAGGAACCCTGCCTCATTTTATTTTTCTACTTTGCCCTCCACTCAACTTGGAGGCACTGAAGCTACAATAGTAGTACAGTATCACTAGTTCATCTAGGGATTCTATTGTACTGCTATATACAACCCGATGAACAGCCAGTCCTGATATAATGCAGCTACTCATTGGATTAAACCCTCTGAGACATTAGGAAAGCTCAGTGTGTAAATTGCATTGAAGATTTTTACATTTTTCAGTTCTAAAAATAGGTATTTAAATCTTTCATTGTACAATAACCACTGGTTAGATTTGTTGCTGCTTACACTATGCTGGTGAAAATATTGTTTTAATCCTAATCTGGAAAGAATATGTTTTTCTCAATCCAGTCAGCACTTTGAGATGCTATTCTTTGTGAAAGGTGCTATATAAATGCAAGTTGTCATCATTGTTGTTAAATGTTCTGTTTGTATGTATCACTGAGTGACTAATTTCAATGTATTTTTGCATTGCTTCCCATAATTCAGCTATATCAAACCAGTTTTGTCACACACAAGTGGGACCTTAATAATGCGACTGGCACAATGGCCTAACCTGCATTTCTAAGTAATGCTTATCAAGAATCAATAATATTGTTAGCTCCAGTGATTGTATTGAAAGGCCAAGACCTCCTCAGGGAAATGCTTTGAAGCCAAATTGTAATTTGGATTGTCTTTCTTCTTCATTCAGTACTAAAGTTAATGCAGTACAACTTATTTTAGAAAACTTGAGTTTGAGCTAACATATTTTCTCCGTGTTTCACCCACAAATATACGGTCAGTTCACTTTACAGTCTATTCTGTGAAGCGCTTTGAGACATCGAGAAGACATGAAAAGCGCTATATCAAATGCAAGGATTATTATTATTACCTTCATGGGATCAGGCTGATTAATACATTAATAAAATTAATTAATTTATTAATAATACATTAATAAAACAAGATGAAGTGTTTTGCTGATACTTGGGAAGCAAAACCTGATATTCAGGTTGCAGTGACATTGGCATAGGCTATGGAGATATCTAGCTGCTTGCCTGGACTCACCTGATGAGAAAATGAGGATAAGGTTACATATGAGAGACCATGAAAAAGAGAAAATGAATGGAAAAAGAACAAAAGGAATAACTATTAAACTTTTTTAATGCCTGAAAAACTAGTGGAAACAGGAAATAAATTAGATTATTATAGTGGAGGAAATGGATTTAGACTAGGCTTAAACTTTTTTTAGTCAGCTGGGTGTTTGACCCACGCAGAAATCCATTGCCAGGCTTAAGAGTATCCCAACCAATTTGAGGCTTCCATGGTTGTGCTGTCATCAGCTGTGCCCTGGAGTACTGCAGATGTGCCTCACTCAGGAGCTGGACATTCCATTGCAAAACTTGCCACCTTGAAACAAGTTGAGCTCCAAGGAGACTCACTTTACCTCTACCCCAAGGAAGAAAGTACCTAGTTGGTCATTTGTCATCTGATTTTTTTTTTTTGCGGGGTGGCAGCCAGGTATCTGACACGTGTGGAAACCCATCACCATGCTTAATAGTATCCAAACCAAGCTGAAATTTCCATGCATCCCATCTACACATTGAAATACCAG